AATGATCAGTATATTTTTTAATGAAAATCAACTAGGTAGCATGGAGAACGTTCAAAGTACCTCCAAATGATTGTGGTACTGGGAAATCCGTTAGTGATGCTTTGTCAAGAAAAAGTGATAAAATTATCTGAATCAGGTGGTTACATACAGTACCAGGATAGAGGGCACATTGACATAGGTGGAGAGAATCACAAGACAATTATTGCCAAGGGCAGTTGAGTGGGGTAAAAAAAGACTAATGCTTAAATGGTCAAAGAAGAAATCTTGGCAGTTAAGTAAGAGTTATAAGTGGCAGCGGAGGTATGTTTTGGAGTAATATGAATTATCTTAATGCTTTCTTGACATCATTAAAACAGGTTTAGAGCATAAGTTTTAGTCTAAGCAAATTATGATGATATTAAATAGAAAGTACAATAAGTGATAAGCTTTTCAGATAAGTATAAGTTAGTTAATACACATACTCACCAAAGATAGTGTTCTCTTCAGAGTAATCTTTCTGACTGTCTAATCTTACAAGTGTACCGAAATTGAAATCTTCTACCTTTCCATCAAATTGGTTACAAAAAGATCTCCACTTCTGAAATTGTCAACAAATGAATATGATTCAAATTATATCGAGTGCAATTACTGTGAAAGAAAACATTAAACTGGTTCTGGAGGAGCTTCATGGTCTAAAGTCTTACAAAACTACTTTAGCATTCAAAGCATGGAAAATTAGATGTAACAGAAATTGTGCAAAATGAAATTGTAGGTTTTTGTTAAAAGCAATATGTATCATAGTCATATATTTAGTTGTAAAAATGCTTTTGTTTTTTCATATTATTACTTGTACTTATAATATTAATCTAAACTTCTGGTGCTTGTAATAACTACAACCAATCTTTCTTCATTTAGTTATGGCCTTTTCTGGTTGCTCTCCTTCACAAGAATCTTGAGTGAGCTACAATGTAATGCTACACCACATTCTCTAAGAACTTCACATAAAACATGAGACCAATGTTTTCAATGGTGACATTTTATCTTTACACCCGAGGAAATTTTGTAATCTATATTCAGGTTTAAAAATAACAATTAAATCAATATATGTTTAAGCCTTAAGAAGAAACTTATGCAGTTGATTTTTAACAATTCATATGTGTTTGCCAGTAAATTGCTTTCCACATAACTTTGTTGGTAACACCATATGTTTAAAGGCAAAATATCAACACTGGAAAAATCCAACAATATACACAAGTTTAAATATTCTGGATACAATTACAAGTATTGGATCAGCCACAAGATGGCTAAAAAAATGCATAAAAGAACATGCACATTTGATCATTGAAAATAAACCAAGTACACCTAATCATGTTCTTGGGGATATGTGAAATAGCAGTACATCATACCTTGTCTAAGATCCTTGCAAATGGAAATGATTACAAAAGTGACTCTTGATCAATTGCTTAAGGCAACTTAATGAAATAAGTTCAGTTGTTTATCTGTTATACTGATTTTGGGGAATTCTGCCCCTGATCAGTAGCCTTGGACAAGAGCAGACTGCAAAAGAATAAGATTAGGGTTCATAAAGTGGTGTTTTGAGTTGTGTTTTACTCATCACAGTGATGAGTAAAATATATCTCAAAACATGATACAATACTATTAAATCTTTCTTGTTCATTCAGCATTGTTTGGTTGTTAAAGTTAGTACCAAAAGTAAGCACTAAAATAGATTACAGTCCCAAAAGATAATGAACTGTATGATTTTCTTTGACTTTCTACCAACTCAAATGATCTAACACAAAATTTTCTTTAAAGTCTGGAAATATTAATCAAGAGGAATAACCAAAGGAACATTTTATTTACAATTCACAAAAGGTAATGAATCATAACTAATAAAATCAAAAATATATATAAAGCATCGAATCACAGAATATAAAACTTCTAATGAAAGCTAATGTAAACAATCTAAAACTTGAAAATATAAGGAAATTATTTCTAAGCCTACATGCTTACTCCCTCTCTCTTTGGTTGGCAGTAGAATATGAGAAACAATATAAAACATAGCAAAATTTCCAAAATTAATGGTCATATACAAGTTGATTACGACGAGTATGAGAGAGTATTTGAAAAATTTCAAAAAATATTTACAAAAAATTCGAATTCATTTGATATTACTTCTACAATAATTCACATTAGCTAATATTTAACTACAAACCTCTTTAGCTTCTCTGCTTTTTAACTGATCTTCAGATATAAGTTTTACATTGAAATCAGGAAATTCTCCCCGGAACTTTTCATAAATGGTATTATCATGTGGAGTTAATCTCAAGATCTGAGGATCCACTGAACAAAGGAGCTGCTTCATGTAAGCAAATTAAATGTATTATCTACATATGCTGTACATACATGCAGAGAACAGATGTGAATAAATCTATAAATACCAAATGATATAAACTGATCTCAATACATCAAAAAGTACTAACATTTATGAAACAGAAGTAAATACAAATTGAAATGTTATAATTCCTTAGGTTTTTCTGTTACTTAAAATTTCCAATGTTTAAGAAATCTGCGAAGTACAAATGGTACATTTATATATTATGAGTATCAGATTACAATCAAGAAGAATTAATGTCACTTGAATTCTAACAAGTACTTATAAACAAGATTAAAATAATAACACAACAAAACTTAAATAATAGTTTAGTTTTTCATTATGTTTATGTTCTAAAAAATCACTTAAATTTCCCATTGAAATTTATACAAATCAAAATATACTTTAATGATATATAATTCAGTGATAGTTAATATAAATAAGAATTTAATGAAATTAAGATGAATTTTGTTCCCAATAAAACTCACAATATACATGATTTAGAATACTTAAAGCTTGTAGTGATTAGCTTAAATTAATTTATTCGTTGAATACACTAACAGCTATACATGTTTTCATTCAAAGTTAACTTGGACTAGTTTAATTAACTTGTTCAATTATATACCAGGTTGTTGATTATAGGCTATTCTTCCACTTGTTTGCCCTGTTGCTAGTTTACAGTCACTCTTCACTTATCATGTTGAATATTGCCCTTTCATTGATTCCTCATGAAATTTAAAAATAAATGTAAGTCTGTGATTGACTTCTTATGATTTGGTCTGTGTACCTACCATGACATAGTATGGTGGATCATATATGTAGTAAAAAGCTTTATAAGTAAATCTTGATGTGGATGGTTTGTACTCTTAGATAACTTTGCAGTAGAGCCCCAATCTTGGGGTCCAAGTCCAAAATCCAGCTTCTTCACTTTACATTCAGTGTTAAATATGTATAACAAAAAATATAATTTTATAAAGACAAGTAGGGATCAACATATATGTAACCTACCTAGCTATAGTAACATAGAAAGTTTTAATGCTACAAAAATATTGATAAAAGTAAGTCAAAACAACAAAAAGTAAGTTACTTAAAAATTTAAAATTTGTATCACTACTTTGGCATATTGCTGTAATTATGTTAGTCTAAGCCAAAGCAGGGATAAAATTTTTAAAATTTGAAGTTTTTGAAGTTCTGACTTTGTGGTTTCAATACTTTCTGTAGCATTAAAACTTTCTATAGCTAGGTTATGCATATATTGATCCCTACTTGTCTTTATAAAATAATTTTTTTTTGTTATATTTGTTTCCTTTTTATTAGCTATATTTTTGTAAGCCAGATATATCAAGCATGGGGCACGCATATACCTGATTCGATTTTATTACTCATCAGGATTTCTACCAACCTCTATGACCCAAAGTAAGGCATCATCCGTTTTAAGTACAAAAAAATAATCCCTGGAAGCCCAGATGGAAGAGTTCTGTGAAAGAATTTGAGTGATAAGGTTCATCATTTTTTCTGTACACGTGAAAATCTTATAACATTTACTGAAAGACAGCCAAATTTTGTGAGGATGTACCCATTATATTAAACGTTAGTAGTATTAAATCTATAAAGACTTTAACCTTTCCACCCAGCCCATAACCATGAAAGTATCCATGAGAGTAATTATACTACAATTTTTGATAATGCATACACATCTTTGGAAAATTTTGCAGGTTATTGGTTACATTACAAGGTTTTCTCTAAACCTTTTTTTTTCAGGATCTTGACTATCCAACATGCAAAGCAATTTTGATTTTGAGATTAGAAATACTTTAATGCATTAGAACATTTTCAAATTTCACATGTGAAATCTATATAATCTGCAGATAATCAATTTTTTTGAATAATTTGTTATTTTCCCTACTGTATTTCTGTATGGGTTGGTTTGATTTGACTGACTTCATAACTTCAATAAAATATTAGGAAAAAATATGCTTTTTTTTGTTCTAGAGTAACTACAAATTATAACACGAAAACACAAATTTTTAGTCTAAATAGCTTAAATCTCATAACATTATACATTTATATATATATTTATTATTTTTATTATATATATAATACAGAAGTTACAATGATGTGGCATACCTGCAATCTTGTTACCGTATTCAATAATATGTAACTGACTTTTAGTATTTACAAAGTGACCTGTCTTGGCTGTGTTTTAGTGGACTAGTATTTTGTAAAATACAGTCACACTTGAATTATTATACATTATTTCTATTTACAAATAAGTTCTTAAACTTATTTTTCTTTAAAACAAAGAACAGTAAATAAAGAACTAGAGTAAACAATTATCTCTTCTAGTTACAATCTTTGTACTTGTTTGCCTTATGAAATTTCCCACGTGGAGGATGTGAAAAGAAATTGTTTTTTAGATTTTATATTTACATTTTAAATAACCATAAAATCATAAATTTGTATATCGATACCATAGAATTCCACTATAATTTATCAAGCATAGTAACTAAGCTGTATTTGGGTCTAAAAAAATATGAAATTTCGAGCTCACTAAAGACTTACCTCATCGATTGAAATCTTTTGCGAAAAGAATGGAATTAGCACAATAACACGTCAAAATGGCTTAGAAAACCAGGGGGCATTATGAGCTTTTGATTGGTTATTCATCTCATATATAGAAGTAAGTGTAGATAAGGGACCATTTCCAAAAATGGAAAGAGGTGGGGTCGGGGCCACTGCGTTTGATTCAGTACAGGAGCGATATCTTAGCAAATAGAAAAGATAAAAGGTTCATATTTTATATTCTAGCTTGTCAATATCAGTAGTTTGATCTTGCATTTTGACATCACAAACATCTAATTTGAAACTTCCAATCTAATTCCATATGTATACAATGTAGTTCAGCTGTGTTTAAGTGACAAATTAGCATGCGACAGTCTTCCACCAATATGTGTGCAACAAACCCTCCTATTCCAGCTGACTCCCTCTATCCAGTTGAACCCATTCTTCACTTCAAGATTAGGCTAAAAAAATAACACCAGAAGTGAGGATGATGGGTGGGAAATGTGAGAAGAGGTAAATGTCTATTAGAAATATATTTTCAGTGTAGGAAAATATTAACTTCCAATATGATTACTTACCTCCACTCACAGTTACAGCTAGAGTAGGTGGAGGAATCAGTGTATAATTACCTAAAAGAGCATCCTTTAAAAGCATCTGAAGAGCATCCATGGAGTGTGACCTCTCTATGGATTGGAAACACACTCGTGGAAGACTGCACCACAACTGATGTAAAGCCAATAGGTGTGGTGTCACAATCAAAGGGCAGAACAAAGTAACAATTCCAAATCTCTAAGGAAAAGGAATGTGTGTAGAGTGGCTAGGGTGCACTGGACCATAAGCAGGAGGTAAACTCCAGTCCATACCAATGGCACTGGGAGGGAAGAGGACCCTTCCTTCCATGAACCTAAACCATTATGTGTGCAAATTCAGCACAACCTGCAGCAAGAAACCTCAGGAATGTACATCTGGACGATGCCAGGAAGATGGAAAGGCAACATGGAGAGTCAGTTCTAGTCTAAAACCAATTATCATTGGGGATGTAACATCCAGTCCACTCACACGTGAGGACTTATATTAGTTGGTCTAGCTCCAACCAAAACCAGTCACCCAGGAAACAAAATCCAGCTCATGGTAGGAGGGAAGGTTCCCAGCTGGAGGGGCAAACTGAAATATAGATGGAATTGTGCACACTCACGAGGATTCTTCCATGATCCATTACCCCAGTGTTTATGAGCTGGTAAGTGCTAAGGACTCCCATACTCCACTGGAAAAAGAGAGGAGAGAAACACATTGAAGAGACTGGAGGAACACACCACTAGAAAAAGTATAATGGGTAACCATGAAACCCTATATTGAATAGCAGACCATTCTTGATTCCAGCATTTGGGCAATAATCTCTTTCTACTTTATTCATATTAGTACATGAGTGTACGGTCTGGTACAAACATATTTATGATGCAATATACTGCAAGGAAGAATCTGCAAGCAGTCTTGTGGAACACTCCATCTCAACAGTGAGCAAGATAGAATTTATAGATCTCACGGTGAAGATTTTGGATATCAGTATACCTGGACAAGCACCACTTGCCACACAGCAGGATCCATAACATGTAAAGTAGGCCCCTAAAAAGAAAGAAACAAAATTAACCCACTCAGAGTTATGTTCATGTATGAAGAATGGCTACAGGAGAAAGACAATATCCGTTTGAGCAAGTAACTGCCAAATGTTGCAAGTAGCGGTAGTGTGACACAAAGGTGTGAGGAGTGATAATCTCCTCCAAAAGATGACAGAAATGAGCAGCCAAAGCCATTGGGAGGTGACAGATCTGAGGAAATGAAACAAAACAATTGATAATGCTCAGGAGAAAAGGAGTGAGAGCCATGGAAGAGTGCTATGTGCAATATGTTAAACCGTAAAGCACGGACCACACACAGGAAACAATCTAAATCTGAGCAGGAGTAAATACGAGATATGGAAGGATGGAAAATAGGGGTGAAGGTTAAATCACCTTAATGAGCAGCTGATGTTTTGGGAAGGAAAGAATGGTTGGGATATAAAAGGATATAGGTTTTGTGGTACAAAATGCAGTGAACAAAGATGGCAAACAAGTCTGACCAGTGATGTCTACAAGCAAAAAGTAGAAGGAAATACATATTCAAGGAAGGTTGATATAAGGAACATAAAGCTAGCAGTTCGAAGGGAAGAAGGGAAAAAGCATGGAGAACAACATTTTGATTCCAAATGCACTAAAGAAGAAAAAAATGTTTAAAACCTAGCACCAGGTTTTAACACTGTTGTGTCAAATTGAGAAGTGAAGATGGGTTCAACTGCACAGAGGAAGTCAGCTGCAACAGGAGGGCTTGTCACACTTCTTCTGGTGGAGGACTGTTATTTGCTAATTTGCATGCTTAAATGTAGCTGAACCACGTGGTTTACATGCAGAAATAGGTGGGAGTTTCAAGGCTGGTGGAGAGTGAAAATTTGTAACTGTGAAGAGAGGTAAGTAACCATATTGGAATTAGCTACAGTGTCATGCTACCTTAACTGGGCTCTGAAAAATATGCTTCAACAGAGAGGTCATTGCATCACACTAAATTGATTTTGAATGTACAAATCAGCAATTCACATGAGAAACATGGCCAGTATAAAATTGCCACAGAATGACACATATCAGAACTATATTTTGACATTGTATGGTATTTCATAGGTAGTGCAATGCCACCAAAAACTGACTACTTTTAGGAAAAGAAACAGTTCTTTCTAACCAAAAATTTTCTTACATTCAAATAATAAAGATGTGTTCAAATCACAGATTTTTAATATCCAAGACTGGAGTATCCCTTGCATCTAATAACACTGGAAAACAAAGGAATATGGCTCAACTTGAGCCACCAGCACTATCTAGAAAGAGACCTGTAATAAGTCATACCCTAGCTATTGTAAGAAAAGTGTGGTATCTTGTAACAAGCAAGAATCTGCTAACACAAAAGTCAGTGGTAAAAGTCATTCATGTGCCCCAGACAACAGTAAGCAATGTAATTAAGAGGGATCTGAATCTGGAAAAGTGTCATAAGTCCTGTGTACACAAGATGCTTCCACAACACATCTGTTTAACCATCACATACCTTATGCAGCTGGAAAATGAAATGGGTATTTAAGCTAGTCAACATAAAAGTATATTAGTCATGTCATAAAACATAGTGCCTTTGAATCTGTCTGATCAGACTGTTGAAATCGACACTGGGAAACCATCATCTTTGCATACTAGATTGGTTATGGAAAGATTGCACTTTGGACATGATAGTCTTAAAAAAATAGTATCTGGCAATGAAAAAGAAGTTGCAAGGCTACTGCCAAAATGAGAAGTTGCCAAACAGAGAATTTACCAAATGTGGGAACATGAACTGTGAAAACATAGTAAGGCTCTAAAATTATTTTGATATAACATACTCAACCTCTGGAGGGAAGCTATGCCTTGACTGGTTCTAAAAACTATTCTAGCATTCATAATAAGTGTCTAGATTATAAAAATATCTGAACAAAGCCAAATAATTGTATTCACAGATTATAAAAGATTTCTTAACTTCTCCAAACTGAAAATTTCCATACAAATTTATATAGTTATATTTAAATTTTATATGCCTATCCTTACCATATGAATCTGATAAGGATCAATAATCAATGACATGTTTTGGTAACAGATATTTTTAAATATACCATCTGATACATAAGTTCAAATTTTGGTAAATATAATTAATGTTCACAATGTATCCAGAAAACCATACTTACATTAAAGTAAACCTCCATGTGCTCAATAGCTTTCAATGCCCAAGCAGATTCAAGAGTTGGCTGTTTCAAAGATTAATAAAATGTCAGGAGAAATAAACAATAAATTTAATCTTATTCAGTATAACAGTCTTTAGATATTTATACTAATAAATCTATGTACATGTATCATGCTATCAAGTTGAATGACATCAGAAACATCATAACAGATAAATTGTACAAAAGTAAAATACTATTATGATGCACCTTCATTTCAAATAGTACTAAAATACTGATCTCTTTAAAATTAAAACATATATACAATATAATCCAACATTGCTACTACTATTAGGTAAAACAAATATTTATTCTTTCGACATATGAATTACCCAGGTCATCTATTAAGGTGCAAAATTAGAACACTACTTACACTAAGACAGTAGTTTATATAATCTCAAGTTTTCATGTCATAACCTTCAGACACAGTAAAATATAGTTCAAATTAATACAAGCACATAAAATATATTGGAAATATGACCAAATCTTTAACTTTCCACATTTCTAGCAGAAGTCAGAGTCCTTCAAAAATATTTATTGACAGGAACATCTTTTGTGATAATTTATGTTTATGTATAATGTCTAAAAAAAGTCAAACAAGAAAATCCAATTATATAAATATTTTATAAACATTAAGCATTTTATATAACTATAAACATTATACTGTGATATTCAAATAACAGAAAAACTGCCTGGTTTCAGCTATGACTACCACTTTTAAGTAATTGTTTAATAGATAAAAGACAAATACTAATGCAACTGTTACCTAGATAAGAGTTCTTAAGTATACTTCCTTATAATGTTTTACATATTTTGTTCTTCATGTTAAAATAAGTGAATAACCTGAAAGTGCTAAAAACTGAATCTACTTTCTTTAATATAATTTTTTTTCTTTTAATTTTGGGCTGATGTAAAAGGACACTGAAATATCACATTGACATTTTTTTTCAAAAGGTATGCATATTTCATAGCATTATATTATTTTATCAAACAAATACAATGAGCAAAGTAAACTGACTGCTTGAAATCAATTCATCAATTTACTCTATCTTACTATAGTAAGTTTGCCACATACAGATTAAACAACTAGACCATGACCCTTTCTTTTTTTAGTCTAAAGTACAAAACAAAAAAACAATTTAGCTCTAACATACCTTTTCCTAATAAAACAGTGAATTCCTATTATGAAATCTACTGATAATAACAACAACACTTCACAAATGTTTAGAAATATAAAAAAAAACCTTTACATCATTTCCAAATTCTTCTGCTGGTCTAGATAAAACATTTGCAGCTGTCAAAGCATCATCTGGACTCTATGAAAAATGACATTAAATTTCTTTTTTAATAAGTATGTGAAACTTAACATCAGTGCATGCAAAGCATGAAAAAAAAGAACAGTCATTACAAAGGACTTATATTGAAAATAAGTTAACCTCTAAAGTTTTGTACTTCAAAAACGTTCAATAAAGAAATAAATTATAACCATTACTTGTTATTTCCATATCTTTCTGAATAACTGAAAAAGTTAAAAATTACTAGAAACTGCACCTCTGTTAATATATCTGCTTATTCAACAATGGTCTCAAATCAAGAAAAAATGCATTAACGCCAAGGTAGCTTTGTTTTATAATATCATACTATCCAATTCTATAACTGCTTGTTAGAGATACAAGACTGTTTGAATTTAAGTACACCTCAATGAAAGAATAGACCATTCCTAGGTTTAACTTGTTGTTAAACAAATGTTTAAACAACTCTAATTGTTCTATTATGTACAAG